AAAGAAACGCGGTCCGGTGATAATTTATGAACGTTTCATTAGGTAAGTTAGACAAACGGATTTTACGTCGCAACATTGTAACATCAAGACGGCATTATGGAGTCTGGACTGGGCAAAACAATGATAGCATGAGCAAAGATGTACATTTATGAGGTACAATGACACACATGAAGCCGAGTCGACTGTGTTAATGATCCACCTTTCTAAATTGCCCTTGCTCAATTTCATCCAAGAAGAGCAATTTTCAGTGTCTCCTCTCCAGGGTCATGGGGTTACTGACATTTGTATCATTTGCCACAACTTAGGTTCTATTTTATTGGATGAAAGCCTGAAGGATACAAACAAAGAGTCGTTATCAGCACGATCTTGGATTGGAACCAACGTTCTTTGGATTCTGGAAGAGACGGATCTATGCACAGAGACTGGGTCATTGGTAATCCCAGACGCAATAAGTGGAGGTGAGGTGAAACGGGGTTTAACGTCGGGTTTAAGATAATTGTACTGATATGGCGACGTGCATGCACGCGTGTGTGGTATAGTGCCAACCCAATCAGATACCATGCCATAGTTTAACATGAATACCCAACTCAGACACAGTATACTGACTCCGAACCGACCAGTCCTTGTTTTGTCTCCTCAATGCTGTGTAAATGTAAATGGACACTTATACAATATTACTATGTTCTTTTTCGTTAATTTGCATTGGGCATGGATGACCCAGTCATCTAATTATATAAGGCGCAGCAATTCGCAGAAACCTATGGTTGTGGGTTCGAATACTGGTTCGTTTATGTTTCTTGTTTTGTTGACACGTGCTCGTGTGTTTCAGCAAAGTCGTCGACGTGTGCGACCTGCATCACTAGGGGCTTTACTCCCACATTTCACTTGTAAGTTTTCTGCTGCCGCCGACATTTTTTAAACATGCTGAAGAACAAGGGTTGTTACTTTCAATATTATCTATTCTCTCTTCGGAACGTTTCTTTCACCAGGGGCAGTCGGGTAGCCTATGGGTTAAAGCGTTAGCTCGTCACGCCGAAGACCCGGACTCGATTCCCGACATGGGTACAATGTGTGAAGCCCATTTCTGGTGTCCCCCGCCGTTATATTGCTGGAATACTGCTAAAAGCGACGTAAAACCATACTCACTCACTCACTGTTTCACCAGGTCTTGGGCAGATCAGACTTCATTATACCGTGCCACGCGTTTTATGCAATATGATACTGGACAGAGCTACTATAGTTTTTCTCTTATATTATTATTATCGCCAGAATTCCTCACAGTCATAGCACATACAAATGTCTCTAGGGGATTGAAATGATATATGTGACAGTTTATATCTTAACATGCACTCTTTTATGTAAATAAGACCACCCTGAGTCAAAGTTGTTCTCGAGAAACATCATAGTGTGGTGAGTGAATAAGCGAATTGTGGATGTTGTATGCAACAGTAAGCAATGCTCCACCTCTATCCAAGCAGCCACGCTAGCAAGCTGAAAGTATGAGCAACCATTCCCGGTCCCATTATTGGTGATTGTACCTCACATGTGAAGTACTGGGGACCTATACCAACCCGTAACAGAATTGAAACCATTGCAGTTGAGCTAAATCAAAATTTTAATCAACGTATTTAACAATGTGACTTACAACAAACATCAGACGACATCGATCCAGAAATAATCAATAATGCATGTGCTAAAATACACACTTGTCAGTTAAACGTAGTTATGATCAGAGTGCTGCTGTATGCGCACGTAAATGTCCGTAAGTTGAGTGTAACCGAATAAACGACATAGACGCAAGACGTTGTGCCATCACTGTATTAATCCGATCTAAAAGTTGTCTTGGGTACAGCTTGATTCGTTAAATGCATCCAGCTAAAGGACCGAACAGCAAATCAGACACAGTAATATGTTGGAAGTCCAGGCTATAGTTAGTTCGCTGTATGTGTAATGTACAAGTGAAACACTAGTGACATGTACCCACTGCCTCGGAGACGAGTGAATGAATGTTGTGTAATGCCTCTGTTCTCAATAGTCCAGCTGAATCACGGCCATCGGCAAATCGAGTTTCAGATTCGTCGGATACGGATATCTGGTGGGAAGTGGACTTGGTTTACTCCAGATACCGTTGATGTGTTTTAGTATGCGGGGTGCCCACATGGACAGGTGTATGTCTTCCCCATTGCCGACTTGTATATCTCCTTTTCAATGTGTTGATCAGTCTAGTCTCAGCAATACTATCCTGTTACCCAAAGGAGAATTTAGAACAAGGTATTTTCTGTGCGTGACCACGAACTGATTATGTCTGGAAAGTTTATGTCTGTGAATCGAAACCACGACTGGTATCTTAAGTCTATTAAGGGACACAACTCTGCTTACCGTCTTCCAGCGTCTTAGTTTTGAGAAGTTCTAGCTGTTTGTTGTCTAACGCAGCACTCAGCAAAATACCAGCCATATGACGGCGGTCTGAAAAATAATCGAGTCTGGACCAGACAACCCAGTGATTGACATCATGAGCATCGATCAACGTAATTGAGATACGACGACATGCATCAACCAAGTCAGCGAGTCTGACCACCCGATCCCGTTAGTCGCCTCTTACGACAAGCATGGTCACCTTTTATGGCAAGCATGGGTTGCTGAAGATCTATTCTACCCCGGATCTTCACGGGTCAGTTTTACCTGTATTGTCATTTAATATCAGATTGTAGTATCTGCCCTGCATATATGTTTTGCTTGTGTTCAATGTTAAAGTTATTGTGTCAATACATAACGAGATCTCCCGAGTGCGAGACTTGATTCAAGATGGTGGCGTCCAGCAAGTGATAACGTTCTATGTCGCCAGGGTAACTTGTTTACTGGTAAGTAATCTTCTGTGTCATTGTATATGCTACGAATGTGATGTAGATTGCTTTGAGAAGAATCGTTAGACTTTTGTCTTGATTAAAGTGCTGCTGTGTGCGCACGTAAATGTCTTCAAGTTGAGTGTAACTGAAAAACGACATCGACGCAAGACATTATGCCATCACTGAATTATTCCGGTCTCACACAGTAAATATTCGAGTCTGGACCAGACAATCCAGTGATTAATATTATGAGCATCGATCCATGCATCAACCGAGTCAGCGAGCCTAACCTTCCGATCCCGTTAGTCGCCTTTTACAACAAGCATAGTCACCTTTTACGGCAAGCATGGTGGTCGTAAGAGGCAACTTATGGGATCGGGTGGTAAGGCTCGCTGACTTGGTTGATGCATGTCATCGTATCCTGTTGTTGTTGTTGCTGCTGAAGTTGTCGGAGTGGGACCTGTTGTTGTTTTTTAAAAGAGTCATTGATGTTTCTACTAATTACCAAGGAAACTAACGTTTTATATAGATACTATGTATAGATAATGAGTATTCCCATCTGGCACTTACATGGGTCTTTTGGGGTCTTTGTTACATCAGTATATGCTACACTCCAAATACGTGGATATAATAAGTGGATATAATACTTAATCACTCTTATACCCAGACAGTTATGTAATTTTACCATCATATCTTAATGACAAAGTTTGTTTGTTGTTTAACGTCGCACTCAGCAATATTCCAGTTATATGACAGGGATTTATAAATAATCGAATCTGGAGACATTTTTCTAAAAGATTAAGGTATATAGTCCCATTCATCTCTTGAACTGATTATTTTACCTGTGTTACCTTTTGTTGTTGTGCTGGTGGTGCTGGTGCTGGTGGTGGTGGTGGTACCTGATGTTTTTCTATTAATTAACACAGACAACTAACTTTTTGTGTAGGTTATATGTATATATAATGATTAATCTCTATTGGCATATCTGTGTGGGGCTCTGTTACATGCACTAATGTGTACTACACTCCAAATACGTGAATATAATAAGTTGATAGAATACGGTATCACTCTTATGCCAAGACAATTATGTAATCTTACCATCATGTTTCAATGACAAAATAAATTATGTATAATTAGTTCATAGCATTGCGTGGTAATAGTATTTGTGAAAAAGACCCCTACGAATCTGGTTCATAGACAGTATATGTATATGAAGCATTGTGATAGCATAAATACCAGTACCAAATAGTATATATAGTAATAATTAAATAAGATTGAACACAGTTTTAATTGGCTTGCGCTTTCAACTTGTACCACGTATGAGTTTCATTAGGCCATAACTAAACGTATAACTGATGAAACCACCTCTAATACCATTTCCGAATACATGCTTCAATGCGGCGAGGCATGCTGCATATCATGTTTTTGTTTGTTTGTTGTTTAACGCCGCACTCAGCAATATACCAGCTATATAATGGCGGTCTGTAAATAATCGAGTCTTGACCAGACAATTCAGTGATTAACATCTTGACATCATGCAATTGGGATACAACGACATGCATCAAACCTAGTCAGCGTGCCTGACCACACGATCCCGTTAGTCGCCTCTTACGACATGTATAGTTGCCTTTAACTGCAGCCTTTCAAGGAAGATTGAAAATCACGAGTCATACTATCCCAATACTTCACCACATATGCTTTCATATCACATTTTTGAGATTTTTGTTGTTGATATTGTCCTTCATGATTCCCCAAAATATTTTCAATTGGGTTCAAGTGTGTAACATTTTGCTCGTTAAACCATTCCTGAGAATTCGTTGCTCTATGTCTTGGGTCAATGTTTCGTTGGAATACCCACCCGTCACCAGGCTAGCACTACAAAACCACACACGCACGCGCGCGTGGAAGTGCAATAATCTTCTACGTGATATTAAAACCCATTTCACTCACCTCACCTTTAGTAATTGTGAATTTGGCGGTGCCGTTATTTTCTATTGCCAAGATAGATTCAATCATCTAGATAATATATATATCTAAAACATTCTTGATTGAATCCATCTCAGAAAAGAAAACAGTCTGACAGTCTAAATACAGACCAGCGGACATCCTTTAGGCGAGACTACAACAACAACAACAGACAACAACACAAGAAAATGACAATTGCAAATAATTTTATTACAGGGATATTCTTCAATCACATAGGTAATTCCGTTAACACGCACAATCCAACAAAACTTATAACTTGGACATATTTACTGATCTGCTGCAAAAGTGTCTAAAGGGTTGATGACATTTTCTATTTGTCAGTGTTCCTCTTGGGGAGGCCCACGTCATCAGGAAACGTCATCAGCTGGGCCTAAATGTACGTTGGAGATTTTTCCCCGTTAGTCAGTTTGCAGCAGCATTATTTTCAAAATGAAAATATTTATAAATCACATCCAATATGAAAATAGTGATAACAAATAACTTGTTCTATCTAACTGACACTGCACACATCATTAAAAATATCATAATATATTTTTCACCAAAATCCATTTAAATCTTGCAATGACGATTAAAACAAAACTGCTAAGATTTCTTAACAATTTGTTGTTGTTATCTATCAGGAGTTTTAAGAATGGTAATCATACGGATTAATTCATTTGACAATTTGACATTTGGCTCATTTGACATAAGCGACGGCACTCGATGGACGTTTGGACAGCAGGCATTCGGTGCGATTCCTGGGTCGGTCAAAGTCGGAATGCAGCAAGGACGAAGGGAAGAAAGGAAGCTATGGCACTGTACATTCTCAGTGGAGAAGCTCCGGAACCTATACAGAATGAACACAACACATGATACAGGGAATTCACTATTTACACAAGACACACTGTGTTGACAATGGCGCGTATGCAGTATAAAAAGCGTTATTTAAAAATATTTTAATGTCCCTAGACAACGATGTAATATATACCATATTTGACAGCATTTGTGAATAAAAACAAAGACATTCATTACACCCAGTGATGTTACATAGATGGTTTCCCGTTGATTTTAAAGTCATTGATGCACATGTACCTGCAGTCGCTATTTTGCCTCGGAAAATAGGTTGATTAAAATACCTGTATATTCATTGCCTATACTTAGCGTTAACATGGTCATAATCTGTAATCGACAGTTATGGAAACGTCGACATGATGCTGCCTGGAGGAATCTATATTCAAAAGGCCAATGAATAATCTGTATCAACAAAATAGAATGATGGAAATATTATTAATGGATCACTAAAATCAGCGATGACACCAGGTGTTCGAGAAAAGAGTAAGCATAAACTGTACCTGTAGCACCCAACACATTTTTTTATAGAAAGAGTAGGTGTGTTTTCCCTGACGCGACAGACAGCAATATTCTTGACAAACTAAAGAAGCCTGTAAAACAATAGAGTCTGGACCAGAGAATCCAGTGATCAGCACCATGAGCATTTATCCACGCTGTCAACCAAGTCACCAATCCATTAAAGTAAGTGCCAGTGAGTCCATTGTGACCACCTTTCCGTTTCAACAACACAAAACAACAAAAGCTCCCACAGCTGAAAAGATCAGGAGTGAATGGAAACACCCTTATCTCAGCAACACGTGTCTCCTTATACGTGTCTCATAACATGAATATACACTCTATACGTGGATAACTAGAAGATCCCAGGTGCGAATTGCTTATCGTAATTACCGACTGCAATGGTATGAGGTGATTACAACGCGTGCATTGCTCAGATTCGAGTATTCACATGCCACGTGATAGTGCTGTAATAATACGGATTGCGGAAGACAACGAAATTCAATCACTCACTTATAAGGTGAGTAAAGTGAGTTCAAATTTAACGTCGCATTGGCATTATTTCAGCAATTTAGTTTTTGTATGCAAGGTTTTATTTAAAAACAAGTTGTGAAACATATTTGAGCATACTGTATTGAGACACAATTTATGAAACATATTTGAGCATAACAATATTATACATACAGTTTTAAAACACGGGCTATAGGCCACCAGTAACCAAAGCTAGGCCACCTCGTTAGGGATAATCGGGACTTACAGTACTCCAGCTTCCTGCATGATACCCCAGTAGGATTTACGTCATCACTTTAGCTACTGGTGGTTTTGCACAATAGAAGCCAATATACTGAGCAATGAGTTAACTTAAAAACACTGGTTGATGATAGATTATGAAAGGATCACGTGTCACACAGGGTATCATTATTATGTATATAAATATATATCTTAATATTCAAAAGGATGCTGGTGAACCAAAGGCCCGTGGAGATCCGGTGTTGAATAGGTCTTTAGGAACCCATGCTTGCCGTAAGAGGCGACTAACGGGATCGGATGGTCAGGTTCTCTGACTTGGTTGAGGCATGTCATTGTATCCCATTTGCGTGGATCGATGCTCAAGATATCAATCACTGGTTTGTCTGGTTCAGACACGATTATTTACAACGCCGTTTCTATATAGATGGCATAATGCTGAATGTGGCGTTAAACAACAAACATACAGACTTAACCAAAACACACGCCTTGGAAGCAAAAGTCACCCCCGTTACCCAGCCACGTAACCGTACCAGCTGGCATGAGAAGGACAAGACAATCTTGGCACAATGTAGTTAGGTTTGGAAGTATGTCATCTTACATAGATTACTAATCAACAGATGCAGACCCGTGAAGATCCGGGTTAGAATAGGTCTTCAGGAACCCATGATTGCGATAAAAGGCGTCTTGAGGCTACCAACGGGATAGTGTGTTAATTACGTGGATCGATGCTCATAAGACCATTATTTACAGACCGCCGTCATATAACAGGAATAGTGCGGCGTTAAACAACAAAGAAACAACAAACTACTCAATACTTTTGAACTTTTTGAACTTCTAACTTTTTGCTGGTGTTGCTTGTTGTTTTCTAGAAGGGTCAGTGATGTTAATGTCTATAAATTACCAAAGAAAACTGACGCTTTGCATTGTTTTCTGATATAAAAGCAAGTTTTCGAAAATAAAGCCCATACATTATGGTGAGGTTTTAAACTCGATATTTTCACCTTTGTTGCGTGCTGTTATTGCTGCTGATGTTGTCGGAGTGGTACCTGTTGTTGTTTTGTAAAAGAGTAATTGATGTTAGTAATGTTTCTCTTAACTACCAAAGTAAACTAACGTTTTGTACAGATACTATGTATATATACAGTACACTCTTATAACAAACTTACCGATATAACGAACTTGTTTTTAGTCCCAGCCATTTGTTGCATATATGCTCTATATTTGCTTATAACGAACTACGGGCGGTCGGGTAGCCTAGTGGTTAAAGCGTTAGCTCGTCACGCCGAAGACCCGGGTTCGATTCCCGACATGGGTACAATGTGTGAAGCCCATTTCTGATGTCCCCCGCCGTGATATTGCTGGAATATTGCTAAAAGCGGCGTAAAACCTCACTCACTCACTATAACGAACTACGGTTATTACGAACTAAAATTAGTGGTCCCTTTGGGTTCGTTATAACCGTAGTTTACTGTAATGAGTATTCCCTTTGGCATTTACATGGGTCTCTCTGGGGCTTTGTTACATCCAGCAGTATACTACACTCCAAATACGTGGATATAATTAGTGAATATAATACTTTATCACTCTTATACCAAGACAGTTAGCCAATCTTACCATCATGTCTTAATGACAAAGTTTGTTTGTTGTTTAACGTCGAACTCGGCAATATTCCAGTTATATGACAGCGGTTTATAAATAATCGAGTCTGGAGTCATTTTCTAGTAAAATAAGGTATATAGGCTCATACATTATGGAGAGCTTTTGAACTGATAATTTTACATGTGTTACCTTTTGTCGTTGTTGTGCTGGTGCTGGTGGTGGTGGTGGTACCTGTTGTGATAATAAGTTGATATTATACGTTATCACACTTATGCCAAGACAATTATGTAATCTTACCATCATGTCTCAATGACAAAATAAATCATCTAGTTCATAGCATTGTGTGATAATATTATTTGTGAAAAAAACCTACGAATCTAGTGCATAGACAGTATATGTATATACAGCATTGCGATAGCATAAATGCCAGAACCAAATTGTATTAAAAAAAAATAAATTATATATATAGTAATAATTAAATAAGTGGAGTAAGATTGATCTCAGTTTTAACTGGCTTACACTATCAACTCGTACCACGTACATGTATGAGTCTCATCAGGCCATAACTGAATGTATAACTGACGAGAATCATACGTGGTACGTATTGCCTGATGAGACTTATATGACTCACTATGACTGAAAGTGAGAACTTTGCTCTCTCTCTTGTCCGACATTGCCGAGATCGGATTCTATTGAGGGAGTCATCATTATAATTGATAAAATACGCATATTAATATTTTTAAAGCTTGTACATTGTGTTATCATCCTTGAAGAGGCTGTACATAGTGTTGATATCTCATATAAGAAGTAAACGACTCGTGGTCGTTGTTTATCGTACAATAAAACACTGCTACACCCCTCCTGGTTTATTCTCCCCGCAGTTGTCTATTGTACAACAAACAACGACCAGGAGTCGTTTATTTCTAAAAAAACAATACTGAATTTATGGTTTTAAAGTTTAGGTCCAAATGTATCGTACGTCGCCACGTGACGTTCATATTTCTATTGATCTATAAAGTAAAACATCAGTGCACTCCATGACTGGCGACACTCTTACTGATGAATTCTTTTTATTAATTTGTGCTTTGTACAAATGATGAACATGTTTTTCCTTCGGTATTTAAATCTATTACACCACAGAAATATAATATGTTGGTTGAGATTTCAATCTTTAGTTCATATACAAAAGCGTGAAAAGGTTCAGCCGAAGTGCTTCTCGATAGTTTGTGACGCAATTTAGCACTCAAACAATTTCTTTCAAGCTTCGACTTGATTATCTTGTTCAAAACGCTTTTCTGTAAATGAAGATTCACAATGATATTATGTTATAAATAATAATGCATATGATTCCACGACATTTCATTAGCTAACCAAGCAATATGTTTTGAGGTTATGTTCCTTCAAACCGAATCATAGATGAGACGCCCAATAGCAGTAAACTGTTTCCTTGATGATAATAAACTAGAGGGCAAAAGAAACGCCACCAAATAAATAATGGTCGTCAGTTTTCAACAAATTTGCCAAACAGCACGAACAAGTTACCCATATGAAATTTTGGTAAATACATGAGCAGGTTTGTACTCTGTCATCACATGAAATCGTTTAAAACAACGAACATGCCTCGACTAAGCAGAGGGAGAGAGCCATCGGTATGTTGCAAATGGGAGCGACGCAGGAGCACGTTGCCAGGATCATTGGCTGCTTCAAGTGCACCATCGCCAGTCTTGTCACACGTCACAGGCAAACTGGCAGTACTTGAGACAGGCCGAGGAGTGGAAGACCTAAGGTCACGACCCTTAAAGGAGGACCGGTATTTACGGGTGCTTCACCTATGGTCCAGATTCCTAACTGTGACGTCATCATCCGCAAACAGCCTTGGACATCCAGTCAGCAGAAGGACCGTTGCTGGACGACTCCGCCTGTTTGGTCTCCGTGCCTATCGACCTTTCAAGGGCATGACGTTAACGTTTCTACACCGACGTCACAGACTGAGACGGGCCAGGACTGTACAGCAGTGGCAGCAGTGAAATTGGCGAAGAGTGCTCTTCAGCGACAAGACTAGGTGCCCGCTTTGCACGTCTGATGGGCGGGTTCGAATCTACCGACGACGTGGTGAACGGACGGCACGTTGTTGCGTCAAAGAAGTGGAGCCTTATGGAGGTGGTACTGTCATGGTCTGGGGTCGCGGGGACCAGAAGACAGATCTGGTCATCATCGACAGAAATCTCACTGCACGTCGTTACATTAAAGAAGTTTTTCGGCCTGTGGTACTGCCAATCCTGCAACGACACCGACGGACGCTGTTTCAGCAGGACAACGCCACCTCTCACACAGCTCGAATTACTAGCGACTTTCTGAACGCAAACAACGTGATCGTATTACAGTGGCCAGCCAGATCACTGGAGCAGTAGCCAATAGAGCACCTCTGGGACCAACTTGGACAGAGGATTCGGAAACATTAACAGCCGCCGTTGACGAGGGATGCCTTGGCAATTGCCCTGCAGGAAGAATGGCGTAGACTCGTGTACTCAGTTCGACGTCGTGTTAGGTCCAGCATCGTTGCTGTGGGGGGTCACATCCGATACTGAGCCATGTGCGTAGCACGGGACTATGAAAGAGATCAACGTCGATTCTGCGGATGTGATCGAATACTGGACAGTGCCCCCAGCATGATAAACGTGTCTGCAGAACTTCAAGTACATGGTTTTTAATCTTGTCATTTTCAAATAGCGTTTTTGTATAATTGTTTTTTTTAGAATAAAACATCAACTGTTACTAAATTTTGCGTCTGTTTTGTTTTAGACCAGAAAATTGTTAGGTGGCGTTTATTTGCCCGTTAGTTTAGGGCGGTCGGGAGTTGGGCTGCATTATTACGCTAAACCATGTCAATTATTTTGTATTGTTGTCAACCATTTTTTGTGTTAATGATTAAATTGGCAGTATGCATGTTAAGTTCTTATTGTTGACTGATTTATATATTAGAATTAACTTGTGAAGTCCGGAGTTTTTCACATCAAGAATCGATTACAGATCCCCGAGATATGTAGAGGTTTGATAATTAATTCATTGTCGAATGTTAGATTATGACGGTTATTGCAAAAGAAAGGGGCCGAATACGCATTGGTGAACAATTCATCTTGCAGATATTATGTGTAGCAGCAAGTACATTGCACGTGTACAACTGATAATACTCACTACATTTCGGATGCGATCTCCCAGTCGCTCTGGTAATAAGTTTCGAGGCTGTGTCACCACTTCCACATGCTGCATCATGTGCTGTGTTGAGACAATCAGTGTAGTGCTCCAGAGATCTAAAACAACGTGTAGGCTGTGAACACGGCCATGTCTAATAATCTGTAATTCTTCTTATATAATTCTACTGCTATTGAAACAAAATGAAACATATACATAAGCTATAATACACCCATTTTATTGTAATATGAATATAGATTGAACAGTTATTTTTTTTTTAATGGTTTGAAAGTTAAATCAAAGAAGGGAATCTCATCACATGAAGTTTGTAATTACCTGCATTCACTTCCCCAAAAATCCTTTAGGCATGTGCAGGGTGCTCCCAAGGTTGTCTCTGAAATTCAATTGGAATCCACATTATGTGCTGCATCATTGTCCAACTACTCAACGAAACGGATTTAGGATATATAAAAAAGAACAACTTCTGAAAACTCTCACTCGAACCCTAAGGGAAGCATTTTTGAATTTAGGACATTTCTTTTGCAACAAACGAGATCTTGGATCAATAACTGTTCGAGTCTAGATCTATTTTAATGCTTTACCTCAAATAGTCGCAGGGTGAAATGTAGGTACAGATTAGCCCAAGTATTTGTATAGCAAAAATAGGCCGTCAATCTACATGCGTCAATGGAAACCCGAGGATGAGTACCTTTTGGCCAATCAGACTGTTGCATACCTATTGTCACCTTCACATGAAACGCAATTTGCAATTCAGCCAAATGGTGAGTACTGAACACATGCTTCGTGCTTTTACCTGAACGGTCAGATTCCACTATGCATCAAAGCTAAACAAATTGTACCCTGTTGAAAATAATCGAATATATCAAAACAATCTGATTGTAATAGAATACGATTATTTTGTTTAACTCTTTTTAGGAAGTAGACAATTGTCATTGTATTAGCAATAGGTATTTTTGTTACTCAGTTAAATTTTACAGTTTTCCTGTTATATATGTCACCCTATTTATTTACCATTCTATATCATTATTTGCATTTCTTTATAATTTAATAGGAATTTAACTTTTATAAAGACTTACAATTGTCATGAATACATATCTAACTAGCTTAAGTAGTCATGCTATCAATATATACTACGAAAGTAAATTATACACATAAAACGCCAATGCAGGCGAATCAACGTAAACACATGGGGGAACTTTGGCTCACTGCAAGTAGCTTTTGTGACTTTCTGGGCATCTTCTGTTGAAAGTGTACACCAATCTGTCGTTCCCGCAGCATTTTCGAGACAATTAAGGTACTCTTTCAAGTTTCTGCAAAGTATCAGTTACGCATGTTTTAAGTCATGTACATCTAAAATAAACCCCTATTGTATCATTTGATGTCTTTTAAACAATATCAGCATATGTTTTTAAGGATAAATAGTGGGTGTAAACGTTCTGAAATGTTGGAATAATATGAATGTTGCCATAAAAAGAGTATTCCCGCCAGATTGCTGCCTGTCTCGACCAGACAAACCTGTGTGCACAAGGAACAGCCCACTCTGTTGGGGCATGATGATAAGCTATAAGCCAAGGCTCCGAGTCTGATGATAATCACCATAACCTTTCAAGTCCTGCGTGATATGCAGAACAAACTACTCATTTTGTCTGTTCCATTGCTCCTCAAAAACATTAACATTTATGTTAAAGGCAGATACAGACAGCGGTAGGCCACAATCGTTTAGATTGCTGTAAATATATCTCATTTGTCATATCTCTTGATGAGTTTTGAATATTGAGATTGAATTTACTTACGGACAGTCCATATCTGTATCTGACTTATATGCGGTGGTGCAGGCAGCACAGGCAACATCAGCGTCAGCAGCATCTTGAACCCTGATAAGTGTTGCTGTGAAGAAGCCTGAAAGAACATTTGCCTCTAAAATATCATAATGATCAAATTTCAAGCCAATTCACATATTATCGTTATTCGTGAAAACTTAGTGACCATAAACATTTCCGATTTACAGCAATATTCAACTTTAAACATTATGACTGCTCTTTTAGACATGGACTGGACCGGAACTGGAAGTGGTTTCCAGATAGTAACGTCTGAAAACAGACTGATGTGACCACATGCAGAGAACATTTTAGAAACAACGAATAAAATGTTGTGTATGTCAAGCTAAAGTGTTCAGTGTTTAGAGAAACGGGTCCTTTTATGTATTGAAGTATGTGGTTTTCATACTCACCAATACAAAAGGACTTATGGTTTATGAAAGAATTGCTTCTGACGCATAAGGTGACTTCGTTCCGTTACATTGTAATACCTACTTAGAGTATGTGTAATGATACAAAAATGATATTGTATGGAACAAGACAAGAAGCGACAGGTTGAACCATCGCTTATATCTTTTCCAAAGAAAAGTTATTGTCGTATGGAACAAAAAGAACGCCCATTGGGTGTAATGCCTAGAATTGATATCGTGTGACGTAAAATCGACGCTGGTAATAATTATAACGACTTGACAGAACCTAACATTTTCTTTATATTTTTAATGTATTCTCACAGCTGGGTGGATAAAAGCTGAAATCTCTGCTACAAGCAGAGTCCTTTGTAAGATTATACCATGAACATGTGTATCGCGTGTGATACCAGCTGTTCGCAAAAAAATGCGAGCGTATCCAATCCCACCGGTAACATGAACTAACAGCGACAAAACCCTTTCCCTATTCATAAGGAATATCTTTCCTGCTTTATTATGATTATGTGTTTATGAATCACTATCAAATAATGATGATTCAAGGTGTTCGCAAAAAGGTGAGAGTATTCTGCCCGACCGGAGGCAAAGGCTAGTCAATTGTCCACCTGAACAAACACGGGATTAAGTCAAAATGGGAACAGCATCGGACATTTTGGTCACTTATACGTCACATCTGGCTATATAAACGCCACAAGCCATAAAGTCAAAAAGTCATAAACCAATACGGTGATGTTATTTTTCCATTTCTGGATTCGCCTGTGTTGTTAAGACGCAGCACAGTATTGGTATATTAATATGATCTCTGAACTCTTGTGGTTACTTCAGGTACAACTTCGCTTTATGTAATTATTCAAATATTTAATAGTCAGATACCAAACTACATCTCGTAAACAATCTCTGTTCAATTTCCATGTTGCGTTTTGTCATCCCCCACCAAACTCAGTTTCACTCGAGATAAACCGGACTCTGATCACTTAAAGCCATCTTCCCGGGGCAAGAGTATTCACTAGCATATATCACGGATTAGTTTCCACCTTAGCCATTTCAAGCCTACTTTCGTTTGGCTCGATCGTGGCGCCACCCTGTGTAGAATAGGAGTTGTGTCCCATGTGATGAAAACGCGATATCTGATCAGATTGCTCTTGTTAAAATATGTTTACTTTAGGTTGGGGGGTGGTAGGTGGGGGGTGGGTGGTGGGGGTGGGGTAGTGATAACGCTGTTTTCTTATTCAAGGGTATAACGAAGGTGAAAAAGGGGCAGAGGATAACCCATAAAGGTCTATATTTATTAGTAAAAATTGGTTACACATTTGGTTAGTAAAATGCGAACTACTGACCAAACCCGGGGTTATTCAATCACTTTAGTTGAGCCTTAAACGTCTATATATTTGTGATGTTTTGGTCAAATCACATTTTTATGAGTATACTTGCTTTTACTCGGCAGTTTAATAAACAGTATAGTCTAGATGGTGGTGCTGTTGGACCTAATGATCCAAATGAATCTTCTGTTTATCTCGCTGCCTCAAGTAATAAACTGCACATCTGACACCATCCCTTGGTGAAATTACAAAATAAAGGAAAAGATAATGAGATTGGAACACCGAAGTCGAGCCCAAATATCCACATATGATAAATATATTTTTATATTGTCTTAAATTTTATCTAATTTCAAATACCGTCAAAAGATATGACCCTTTACCATGTAGGAAATTTAAATAAACAAACAAACAAACACACAGACAACGTCTACTAATCACGATATATACTTATGATTAGTAGACATTATGTCACGCTTCCATACATATTTTCATGAGTCTACAGTGTAACAGTTATGTGTTGATGAACTCCGTGATAGAAAGCGAAATTGTTCTGGTACTGTTTATCCACCAGCCAATTATATTCTTAAATTTACACACACAAAATATTTTATGTAGTAAGTATGTAGGATATTATATTTAATCCTGGATTGAATTTATTTATTTTCTATGTACCTTTAAAGTTCCTTCAGCTATACATTTAACATATAACACGTTTCTATTTCTAAACGAACGTTCAAGTAGATCTTTGATCAAAGCGTGTAATGGGTGACGAATGAGTGAGTTTAGTTTAACGCTGCTTTGAATAATATATCAGGTACAAGTCTAGCTATTTGTTCCTCGTAAAATTATGCACAAAGGCTGGGAACATCCAAATTAATTCAGTAGAGAGAGATCACCCTTAATCCTTTAGAGATGGTAGTGTATTCTCTATTTTACATAATAGTTAACTAATGTATTTACTTTGAATGTCACATATACATATTCAACCTGTATAAACTGCTACGTGCTTTATCGAGCCTACGTGCACTATGTGTAATCCCTATAAAAAAAAACTTGTATTAATAGAACCTGGTAAACTATTGAACATGTGTTTGTGTCGCACTTGCTGAGATCCAAGGATTACAATGTGTACTTCCTTAAGACGGTTGTGCATAACGCTGTCAGGCTTTTACGAACGTGTAACAAATTCTTATGGTGTCAAGTATTGCTTGTTAGAGAGTCAACAGAGATTATAGATGGTGCCTCCCAACTAACGTAACATTGTAACTGTCAGTTATAAATAAAAAGTGCACAAAGTGGTTTTAGAGATTATATATTGATGTTGCTATCGTTGTGTTCATACCAACAGGTGTCAATAATTCGTGCGCTTAAGCATGAACTATATATGAATAGGTATCGTGACTCGACCTCTTTCCATGATCTGTAAGCCCCAAATCGTGCTCGTGGATTTCACGGAATTAATAAATCGGCGTAATTATAGGCTTTCCTTCCGCATTACGTTAAAGCCCCAAATCACCCCCAGAAAAACAAAAAATAATAACTTAAACTTTAATAAAAGTGCAAAATTGTGTCAGATGTAGTCCCGAAATTCCAGACAGTCAAAACTAATGATGTTCGCATATTGAATGTGTCACGTTGCGCTCAATCATGATTTGGGGTGGGATCAGTAGAGCTGGAAGTACCGACCTCTGTGACCTACAGTGAGGCACGGTTACTGTTGGGCGCTACAGGGACGACATTCTGGACCGCACTTCATCCATTTGGATCGTAACGCACGACCTCATCGTGCCAGGGCCGTTGGTGCTACTGAAAGTATAAGACCAATTGTCCGCATGGAGTGGCCAGCCCGGTAACCATTTAAGCCTATCGAACAAATGTGGAATGAACTGCAGTTTAGCCTGTCATGACGCCATGTCCTTCAGGCAACTTAAACATGTACGGGAACTCGGCAATGCTCTTATTGAAGAGTGGATTAATCTTCCTTAGGCAACAATCTATACACTTATTGGGAGCATGAGACGACGGTGCCAGGCTGTGATCGCATCACATGGATCACAAACTCGCTTCTGAGAGTTGTTTTCCAAGGACAATGAATTTGCTTGCAAGATTTTTTTCGTTAAAGATTTGGTCAGATACTCTCATTTTGACTGAATTGACTGATTATTGGTCAAATGGTGCTTGTTGGCATTGTTTGGCAAATGGCAACGGACTTTTAGTAATTAAAACATGATTTCACGTAATATTGTTTTCGGCCAGTTCAACACCTGTGCACAGTTTGACGTATTGCCTTTTAAAGTGGCGATCCTTTACAAACTTTGAGTAGTATACTTCTCAAATGGCGATAAGGGTTGCAATTGTGCCCAATCTCGTTTTTTTGACTGTACAATATGTTAAACTAAACTCCAAGATGGTGCTCTGCTTTGAAAGCTAATGGCCAATTTCAGTTTCTGAGATACATCTCCAGGCATATTCAAATGTTTCCTACCACATCAAACGTCAGTTGCATTAATAACAAAGGTGCAGATGATCAAAGCGTTGCCAAGCTAAAATGTTCATGACAAATATCCTGAATGCAATCGGTGACACTGATCCATTAAAAGAGATGGTGCGGTTGTGTTATATGTAGGTATTATAAACAGAAAACAAAAACATTCTAATCACAAAGTTATATGTGCGTATGTGCTTACTGTTGGCAATAACTATATTATAAAAATATATATTATAATTGTACATAGCCACAATTGAAAATATCATTTTCGGCAGGTCACAAGATGAGGTAACATTTTTTTTACTATTGACAAGAATATACAAATTATATTTATATTATATTTTCTTAGTTATCTTCATGATTTTTGTGCTTTAAACCACAATGTCAATGAGGCAGACTCATCCGATTTTAACAAAAAGTTGTTTCACTTTCAGATAATCATAGTATGTCATTACTAAATACACATTAATAAGCTCAAAACCTGTCAACACCAATGTCGTATTTTGAAGGAAGAGGGAAATCTGTGTGTTTCATTCAAATAATGTCTACGCTGTGTCATCAAATCAATGCATCTGTTGTGTTAACTTAGAGTAGACTGTTTGAAATTTTTACATCAAATGAAGTGATGTCTTCAAGAATATTCTAAAATGACATGATAAGTTAGTCTGAACCTTATCTATTTCTGAAAAATTATACTGAAAGCAAATCTTATTTGCCTAGTGAGAAATACTTTGAGATAATATGCATAAGCATAATTTATTAAATAATAGAAGTGGAAATATCATTACGATATTATCCCAGTAGTCAATTCTGGCTTTGAATAGGGAGAGTCTATACAAAAAATATGTAC